AAAAAAATGTTTAAATACAAATCAGAACAAACACAAAACACAATACACTACAAACAAATAATTGTATTTTCTGTTCCGGTTTATAAATTAAATTATATTAAGTAGCTATTTAAAACTTTCAAGTAATATTACACACCTTTTTTTGTTTCAATTATTTTTATTTTTTTATTTCCATCTTTATTCATTTTAATAATTTTCAAACAAAGGAAATTACAAAGGAAAATATTTTTTTATTATTTTTGTATTTTATTTCCTGTTTTTTTATGAATAATTTTCCAAGAATGACTACAAAATTTTATGTATTTAAAAAGAATTTAAAAAAAAATTTTTTTTTTGTATTTTAGACACTTTTTGAGAATATTTTAAATTAATTTCAAAAAATTATTAAGTTTTTTCCTCCGTTTTGCTTTCATTTCTAGCTCAAAAAATTTTCTCACCAAGAAATTTTTTGAAAAATTTTTAGAAAATTTTCTATTTAATTCTCGACAGTTTCTGATACTTGTGATATCTAAATTAAATTTTAAAGCTTAAAACAATTAAATTAGAAAAATATTATTTCAATATTAAATTAATTAAATCACTAAACCTTTCCTATTACCAAAAAAATGTTTTAAAAATTAAATTAAGAAAATATCTTTCTATTTTTATCATTTTTATTAGAAAATGTCAAAATAAATATTTTATTTAATTAAAAATCAAATTTAATTATTTGTTAAAAATAAAGTTTATTTAATTATCAAGCTATATTAAGTCTAAAATGCCTACGATATTTAAAAATAAATTTTATTTTTTCGTTATTTTTAATTTTATACATATAATTGGATAGGCATATTTACGATAGGCATATTTTTTTCTACACACCCTTCAACTAGCTTAATATTAAATTAATTATCAAACATGATTTTTGAATTAACATTTTATTGCTCAATTAATAAATAAAAATAAAAATTATCTACCGTATATGCTCGAATAATTATTTTCTCTCAAATATGTAGTAAATATGCAGCAGGTTGTTCCAACGGTACCACGACTTTTGCGCCGCCATTATTTTGAAAAAATAAATAACTTTTATCCCTCGTGTTTAAAAAATGGTATCCAAGAGCTGAAGGAAGTACAATAGGGGACCGGTAGCAACATGGGTCCGGTAGCTGATGAATTAGGTCTGTGTCATCGAATCCTGATATCCGTGATCTTCAACTATCCTACAATCCTACTATAGTGAGGTCTGGCTGTATTTATTCAATATTTTTAATGATGGCGGCGGCGCAAAAGCCGCCCTGCGTTAAGGTCGTGGCGCAAGAGTCGCGGCGCAAATCCCCCGCTTTTCAGATGCTTTTTAAATTTAACTGCCCACACTCAAATTGCCACGCTCAAGTGGCCAAGCAAAGATGGCCCTTTCCGATTAATCATCCGGCAAAGTAGTTTAACAATAATCATAACCAGAGTAATTGGATATAGTGTAGTGTACCGATGGTAAAAGTTCAGAATCATTTCCTAAAGTAGGGAGTGGTACCGTTCGACTCAGCTCGTCGTGTCGAATCGAATGACATATTTCACGTCCCGAACTTTTACCACCGGTACACTACACTACAGCCGGGTAATTATACGATTATTTACAGTATATCGATATTTATTAACTTTTATATTTCAGTGATCATTTAATTTTATTCTAGCAGGCACATAAAAGACAGAAAATGCCACTCCTTTAATAATTTTTTAACGTAAATTTATTTAATTTAGCTTGTTTACAAGGCTTTCCCCAATTCTAAAATAATATCTAAAGAAATTACTTTTTTCACACCAAGAATTATTTGCAAACTGCAATAATATAACTATACCTCATAAAATTGAATTTTTTACTTTTCTCTTCAGAAAATTTTCTATATTTAGTTGTTAAACGAATTTTTATAAAAAAATTTTTTCAAAGGAAAAAATAAAATTTAGCAACACAAAATTAGAATTGTAGTAAAATTACGTGCATAACTTTAAAATTAACTTCCTCTTAAAAATACGAATTTTTTTGTTAGAAAAATTCCCACTTGAAAGCACAACTTTATTGAAATAAAACGAAACTTAGATTAAAAAAAGATTATTTTCTTGCATGAAATTTCACACAGCTCCTATTTATTCCTCAATTTATATTGCATTTATAATTTTAGAAAACCATATAATGTGCGTAGTATAAAATTTGAGTATTTAGACATTGTAATAAGTCGTTTTTCTTCAGACATTAATCACGGCTCACGGTTTCTCAATTTATATTGCAATTTTAGACATTCAAGTCAGTAAAACTCGTGCACACTGAAATAACCAGACAATAGTGTTGCGCCAGAACCCCAAATTTGGCTTTTTGATTCCGGACCGAAAATTCCGGCGCAACAATAACAGATAAAACATAATGAACATATTCTAGTGATAAGCTATTTCGCCTTACCTTCGAATATCGTCGGTCACTGAAAATTGCATAACATTTTTATTAAATCAAAATTTAACTATAATATATGTATTGTGTAAATAATTACTGCTATATATTGTGTAAATAATAATTACCGCTTGTAAAAAAAGTTTTAATCTTTTGTGCGTAAAAATTAAAACTTTTTTTTATTCAAGCTGTAATTTAAAATTTAATTTTTTACTTAATATCAAATTAAATACTTAAACATGATGAAAAATAGATTACGTGAGAATTTAAGCATTGTTTGCAATTTAGTTAAAGAATAAATTTTTTAAAGCAATTGTCACCTTGAAATTTAATAAAAGTTAACCACTACATAATTTAAAAAAATATTTACGTAATTATAAATTTTATTTTAATTTAAGGTTATATTTTATTTTTACGATTTTACTTTGTAATTATTAAAAAAATTGAGATTTTTAACTGCCTAACAGTTTTTCTGATTCTTATGGTTGTATAAGGTTTTCAATAAGTCCCTTAGAAGAATAAATTAGAAGTCCTTTTAACTTATTTTTCTATTTCTACTTAATATAAAAAAATTTAATTTTATTAGTTGTAAAGATTTATTTTTCTTTATTAACCTAGCGTTAAAAACTTATCAGAAAAAGTCAAATTTTTGGGATTAGGGACTGCGCTTCAGTCCCCTCCGAATACTTTATTCAAACTATAGATTAGTTGACTTGAAAAATAATTTCATGACTTTTAAGAAATCTGGAACTTTGCAGAAATCTCGAACTTTATTTGCCATGGGCACTAAATCAAACAAAACTATTAAATTTAATTCAATATTTACGTCAAATAGAGAGTTAAATAGATAGGAAGCTTGAAGGGAAGAAAAAAAACAGGGGACACAAACCTGACTTTTACCTCATCGAGTAAAAAATCGGTTTCCTGCTACATAATAAAAATAAACAATCATGAATTGTAGGGCTGGACACAACCTGTTATCAACAGAGTCCCTCGATTTTCGGTTATCGCTGGTTTTCGACCCCCGGTTTTCGGTTTCGGGTTTTCCCCAAAGACACCGGTTTTCAGTTCCGGTTCGGTTAACCGTTTTGTGTCCAACCCCAATAAATTGTTTCAGAATGTATTTTCTTTCCAAATTTAGAGTAAAGGAAGGGATTATCTATGCGATTAAGCATCTCATTAATTATTTACTTTTGTATCCTTGTCCTTATATATTTGACATTATTTTCTAAAAATATGTTTATTTTCTCAAAATAAAGCCTCTAATTAATTTGCTTATGTAAACAATACTTATTTGTTTTTTGTTGTTTTGTTATTTTTGAAAATAATTAATATTTATTTTTGTGTTTCGCCCACTCAACGATATTTTTTCTACATATTACCCCCCCTTTTTTACCCATCATCTTTCTTTTTTTTTCGCCCTTCTCTGTGAGAGTAAATTCTATATAACGACACTATTGTTTAACGAAATGTGCGACTTGAATGGAAGAGACACGAGAGGAGTCTCTCGATTCATATATCTGAATCCATAAAGGTTTGGATCAGGGCTGGCTTATTTCGCACTTTCGTTTCGCATCTTTCGCATTCTCGCATTTTCAGCGCGAAAAGTTTCGCATTTCGCTTTTTATTTTTAGATTTCGCCCAGCCCTGGTTTGGATATACGGAAACGTCCCCTCTACTACTAAGAATGCTATCCCTACTATCCAACAACCCTAATCTCTAGAGGGGATGTTGTTATTAGAGAGATTCAATGTACTAAAAGTGTTCCTGTTTTTTGATTGCATAGACTGATCTTTTCCAATTCATACCTCATTAAATTTTAGTACTCATTAAATTTTGTGTCGTTTCTAAATGATGATGCCCGATTAAAATTTTTTCTAATTATTTTCTTTCAATTCAGATATTTACAAATACAAATTTAACAAATTAATTTAACTCCAATTTACTTTATTTTAAAAAATTTAAATGTTAAAAAATGAATAAACATGAATAAACACGCAACAACTAAATAATGGGAAATATAATGAATGTAAATTTACACAATATTAAATATTTTATTTTTCGTTTACTTAATATATTTTATTTTATTTTTAAATAATTAATTTTATTTTAATTTGTAGAAATTTGAAAACGATGAAATGTCTCCAGTGAATCTACAAATGCCGTACATTACTTATCTTAATTTTGCTGAACATATTGTTGGGTTTTTTTGTCAAGTGGTTACTATAGGTCAGTGAAGTGTGGGAGCAGGCTAACCTACCGCCGAGCTATAACTTCGTTCAGAATTGTCGAATCCGAGACGCCCTGGTATGGTATGATTCAGCTCATCGAGCCGCATCGAACCATACCAGGGTGTCCCGGATCCGACAATTCTGAACGAGGTTATAGCTTTGCGGTAGGTTGCCTCGCGGTAGGTTGGGGTGTACCCGTGAAGTGTGGTTCAACAAAATAAAAAAAATTCTGCTTTCTAAGTGGAATAGCTTAGTCCCCTTTAAATTTTTATCAGAAGTATACATATTATTTAATGACCAGAAAAGTTTTTTCATAGCTCAAAAATTTTGATAAAGAATATTAGAAATTTTTAAAATTTTTTTCAGTTCTCATGACCATCCTTTTGTTAATTTACAATTTTAATGTCGACTTGCTCAAAGTCAAAACTTTTTCACGTTCAATGTTATTTTATTTATGCGTACATTTATTTTGTGCAATATTGGGTATTCCTCATTTAATCTACAAAGTTTTTTGGTGGAGACCTTTGGAGAATGAAGGTATATCAATTTAAAAATCCGGAGACCTAAGGACAGAAGGAAAAGAAAAAATATAAAAAAACTAAGGGAAAGACAAACTTTGTTGGCAGATGAGAAGTGAGCCGATCCCTAGTCCTAGGCCGTATATGATTGTCCGCAGATTCTTTGGGATATTTTATGGTTATTTCCACGGAATCTGCGTTCATTACAGAATCTGACTACACAGAATATAATTGAGATAAAATTTCTGTGGTTTATGCACAGCGGTCTGTGCACAAGCTCTAGAATCTGCGGACAAATTGATATAGGGCCATGAGATGCTTCGAAAGACATACTTAGGTAGTAGATGTGTAGTTAGCCAATCCCTAATCCTGAAGGTGTAGGTTCCTTATTTTCCCATATTTGTCATCTAAAACTCAAACCAGCAATTTTCATTGTCTTCTAACAAATATTCAATTTTACAGCAACAAATTCAGCTTACGACCCCTATTTACTTTTCTGGACAGGCTTGCCAGAATTATCATATATGGCACTTGCTCCTTTTTGTGTTCTTTATTTAATTATAGACAGATGTTTGGCTCTACGTCTTATAAATAATCAAACACATAAATTGTTGTTTTATTCGGCTGTTATAATTGCTAGTTTAATTTATAGCTCATCCTTGGGAATTTATATAGCTGAATTACCTTTAAATTTAAATAAAGGTGAGAGGACATTTGAATTTGATTTTAATTTTTGAAAAAGAAATTTAAAAGAGATTTTGGGTTTCCGGAATAGTTTTCCGGATCCGGTGGTATTTTGATAAAAACCGGACACAAACCTTATTCCCTATCTCTATTAAGGGCCTTAATTTGGAGTAGTCCTAAACAAATACATTTTATATAGTATTGCATTAAGTAGTATATTCAATTTATGGAGGCTTGCCTAAAAGTAGGTGTATTCAGAACTGAACCGTAGATTGATTGATTCTTTGGTTAGGTCCCGGATGTCCGAGGATTTTTCTAGACTTCTAGAACTGACAATCTTGTTATGCACTGCTAGAGCCCACGAATTAATTTGCCCTCTAATAGACCAGATCTAATATGGTCTCAGAAAATTATTTTCTCGCCGTCTTAGGGGAACTTTCCTAAGGGTCTTGGGAAATTCTTTTTTTCGATCTTTTATACTCTAATATATTCACAAAAAATTTTTTTAACAGTATCAAGATGCGAGTTGGCCTCCTGTCTAATGCTCAAATACAGAAACATTTTGCAATTATCAGCAAAAATGGTCATTGGGACACTAAACGTTATCTTCTGTCTAGTGTTTCTATATATTCTAGAAAAATCGGGGAAAGGAAAAAATTTGGTTTGAAAAATAATATTTTTTTCATCGGTCTAAAAATTCCATTTTTCAGAAAAATCGAGTAGTAAAATACACAATAACTCTCGAAATTCTTTTTAATGTTATTCCTGGCTATTCAGCTGTTATCTTCAATGTGGTAAGTTTAACAAATAATTTTTTGGTACTATTCGGTTATCCCAAGAAATTTTTTTTTTCTGTTTGCCTTTTTTTAAATACAAAATAGTCAAAAGTAATTAACCCAAAGGTAATTATTCCAAACTGCAGTATTTTCAGGATCTGTTCCCAATTCGCGTACACAAAAGATACTGGAATTATGCCGAAGAAGACGAGAAATAACTTCGTCTTTTGATATGCTTCGCCTTCCACTGTCGGCTTTCTCTTTTCTTAAATCCGAGTGCATAAAAATTGCCGGAAGTACACCCTAACGTTACCCCCTAACGACATTTCGAATCGCATATTAACCCTGTTATAGATATAACAGCTGTTATCGAGTAACTTTTCTTTAACTTAAAAAGCTCTCAAGGTTTCATCTTATCTCCTCCTCCCAACTAAAACTTCCCATTTTGTGTTGAACAAAAACTTTGTTAATAGAGTTTGTTTTAATCGTTCTTCATTAAGTTCGGAGACCGGACGCCCAGGGCGTCTCTCGACCTTCGGGAGACCCAACCCTGGGAGGGTCCCCATTTTTCAAAATACTTCAGAGCGACACATAGCTTTTCTCAATCCTTGGCATTATTTGCTTCTTACCATTTTGTAAGTGAGTAAGAATGACAAAGAAGAAAAGCAAAATGTAACTAGATAACCGATTAATACCAAAAATTTCTTTTTTAAAATTTTAATAAATTTACCCGGAACAGATAACCGGCACCCCCTCTTCTGCTTATATTGGAGAATTTGCTCTAGTTTTTTGTTCAATGGATGCGGCTATTTGTTCGGCAATTTATTTACGTCTTTTTATTAAACAGAAAAATACAGCTACTGTTTGTATAACTACACAGATGGTTGTACCAGCTCCTCCTAATACGACTAGCCAGAATTTGGGGAAATTTAATGTTAGGGAAAAAGAAAATTTTTAAACTGACAATATTTTTTTAAATTTTGATAATTACTTAATATTATATTTTTTATTAAATAAAAATTTATTTTTATTTGTCCTTGAAATAATTTAAAAGATTTAAGTCTCTTGGCTAGGATAGAAATTGTCTTTTATGAAAATTTGCCTGAAAATCGCAGTGAATAAGTCTGCTTTCTCTCGCTCACTCTCCCCCCCCCCACTCCATTGACAAAAATTGAATTAAGAGGACATTTCACTAAATTTGTTATTCTTCGAATTTTCTAATTTTGTTTTTAAATGTTTATTCTACAGCTATTTGCCGATTTACTTATCGGTTTACTTATCCATATAAAACACCTTTGTTTTTATAACTTTATAAATTCCCAGATATTCTGGCAAACCTTAACAAATAAAGTTGGTTCCTTGTTGGGTTTGGGTTCCGAAGCCTTTCGAGGATTATACAAATTCTACTCTTTAAATAACTTTATTTACATCTAACTATTTACAAATTAAAATATATACATAAGGGAGGGAAAAGGGGACAATTACAAGAGTCTGGCCAGACCTGATAAAAACACTTCTAATTAGATTTGAATGACCATTTTGGATGAGTATTTATAGGGGACATTAATAAGTCGAGATTGGCGAAAACAAGTGAATAACAAATATTAAGATAAGGGTCGGGAATTGTGATAGACTCTGATAACGGTCGGGATTCCTTTTAATATAGAAAGAGGTCAAAATATATGTGCCTGTGAATGCATGTGAATGCAACATTTATTTTTAGTTTGTTTATTTGATTAGGAGGGATACAGCATTCCTTCCCCCTTCGAAAAGAACGTCCACGTTCTACTTTTCGGGAAATTTGCTAAGGCTGCCTTTTTAATTAACTGCTTTTCTTTAAACTAACTTTTCTCCGATTAAACGGGTGGCACATTAATTTTCCTTTAATAAGGGTAATTTAGGATTATTTTAAAATATATATTTTTTTAATTTTAATTCTCTAAGCATTATTTTTATTTTCTCATAGTACAATTATGAACGACGGTTTTTTTTAAAAAATATTTCCTGACTTTTTTTTTTAATTTTATATTTTTTCTGACCGAGCTTTATCGTTAAAATTTTAATATTTTTTTTTGTATTATATTTTAAATTTAGTATTGTTTCTCGTCTTTATGACGGCAGCGGATTTATTTTTACTACATTTAAGTAATTATTATAAAGGCTTTAATTCTCTTTCTAATGTGTTTTTGTTTTACTTCTTTTACCTCCATGTTCTCCGACGAATTAAGTAAACACTGATGAGGAAAGAAATATTACATTACAGAACTAATGATTATTTAGGGGATATTTTACATAGGTACAGAAATTTTTGGGAAAATAAACTGAAAACAAGGTGAGGGAAAGTTGGGATAATTAGCATAAATAAATTAAACGATTTTATTTAAATTCATTCAAAAAGCAGCAATTTAGTGGGGTCTTTCAAGTTGCAGAACAAATTTTTTGTTGATATATAGATGACCAATCTTCAGCTGATACTCCAGTTTTGTGAGTTGATTTTACTGCAGGAGATTGTGTTGTTATCGTTGCTGGAAGTTGTATCCTTCTGATGATTCTGTCGATTCTCCCAATTTTAAGTGGGGGATTTTTCTCTGCTAGTTTTTCTCGGCTTTTGTTTCTCGGTTTTTTAGTTCCCGGTTTTGTACTTCCCTCTCCATTATTAAAAAAAAAATTTTTTTTTTTTTTTAGTCAAGTCCTTGTTTTTTTTTTAGAATGGGCTTTTGCTATTTTTTAGGGATTACTCTTTTTATTTTACTCTTCGTGCAGCTTTGAGTCCGGCTCAAGTTGATGATCGACGGCTATCTAAAAACTCCTGACCCAAACTAGTTCACTATGTAAAGAAATTAGTGTTTTTCTCGGCGTGAGCATAGTTGATAGTACAGTTGATGATACTTATGGTTATTTATCCTTGCCGGTGTCTTAGCATATCCAGTTGTGTATTATTTATTTACTAGACATATGATGACCCGTTAGAAATATCTCATTGTATCTTTTATCCCTTTTATTCAATGACTTTTTTGTACATAATATTTTACTGAATTCACGATACCAGTTGGATGACAAAACGGGGTTTTTGGATGTGTAACTCTCAATTATTTATTTTTATTGAAAAGCCAGAATATATTTTTAAATGTGTCCGATGTGTCCGCCGCTAACTTAAAATTTCTTTTTTCCGATTTTTTAATTAGGCCTCTTATAGATCTGCACGAATTTTTAATTTTTTATTTTCTCGCAAGTAATTCAAATTTCTTTATTATTTTTTGATTTAAGAGTTATGTTACTGTCTTTCAGAGTTTCAATTTGAATGATTACTTTATGTATCTAGGATTTTTTCACTAGATATTTGTTGTCTCTATTTTTGCACTGGTCAATGCGTTACTACTCAACTCTGCATAGAGATTCTGATTAAGCAATATTTGAAGCTCCTGTTATAAGATATACGGGGAACTGTGTATCTCTGCAAAATTACATATAAATTTTCGAAAGAAAAATACTCGGAATTATTTAGTCTCCTTGTGAGCTTTTAGGCTGAACCAGTTATAACTTAAAATAATATTTAATTTGCTGATTAATATCCATTCTCTTTTAAAATTTGATTAACGAGGCTTGTTGAATTTTTTTTTAAGCTCGCAGGTGCGGCGATTTGGTTTTACATCAAAGTATTTTTTATTGAACAACGAAATAATTATTTTTAAAGTTACTTCTATAGTTCCAATTAAGAACCTGAGGGTTTTTGTTTTAAATTATTCCGATCTCTGTATTTTTTTTAATGTTTATTCAATGCTGCCTAATATTTTTTTTTTAAATTGATAAAGGCAACTAGTAACCGGAATCCAATATTTGTTATGTCCAGGGCTATGTTTTAACATCTCGGTTAAATCATTTGATTTCGTGATAGAAAAATTTCTTCTTTATAATTTTAATTTAGCCTGTCTTTGAATGAGCCCGAATTTTATCTGACAGCCTAATTTTATATATATTTTAAAATCGTTTAAGCATCCTTTTTTTTTAAATTAGTGGGTTTGCATGACTTTCAACTCTACTCTCGTTTGAGGATTAATATTTTTAATGAGGATCATTTTCTGAACTGATTATCTTCTACATTGTCATTTCGCCTTGATTGACAATTCTCTCACATGGCATTTTTTATTTAAATCCTTACTTCGGATGTATCTTATTTAGTTTCCATCTCTTTTCTTTATGAGTATTTTTACATTCTTTTAAAATATGTTTATCATCTGCTCTATGTATTTTAACAGTTGTAACAATGGCATACTTTAAGGTAAGTTACTTATTTTAATATGTATCTGCGGTTAAAATTTGATCACTTATCTCTTATTTTTCAATGACCTTTTTATATTTTTCTGAATTCCCAATACTAACAGTTGGGTGATAATCGGATCAAGAGAATTATAATCGGATCAAGAGAATTATTTAATTAAAAGTCCAAATATATTTTTTCTGTGTTCGCCCCTATAATGAAATTGTTTTTCTTTTAATTGTCTACAGATTCACATAAATTCTCTACATTCTGCTTCCTTATAATAAATCCATTTCCTGTATAATAGTGATCAAAGCATGTCTAGTGATTTTTTTCAGTTCTACTCAAAAATTTGGAGATTGGAGAGGCTTTTTTAATGCAGTTTTTTCCGAAACCTCCTTTTTTAATTTTAAAGACTTTCTTCCAATTGTGTTTAAAAATGAACTCCAAAGTCTATTCTAAATTTATTTTCACTTGAGAAAACTAGAAACTATTGGATTTGTTAAATTATTTTTATTTTTGGCTTTCTTCTAAATTTTATTTAGTTCTGTTTAATATAACTAATATTCGCAGTTTGGTGTTTTTTGTCTGAGGGCTCAAATTTTACGCTTGCTTAAGTTATTAGTTGAGAAAAATAATTTTTTTTTTCATGACCGGAGTTTTATGCGAATTCTCGGTATTAATGGTATTGTAATTGGATTCTAATCAGTATATCATTTTCTCTCACATCTCAAAAAATTTTATTGCCATTTCTCTTTATAGGGGTATTTTACTTTATTTTAAGTTTATCTATATGCTTAAGTTTCCGCATTTTTTTTCAATCGAGTGTAAGATTTGTTGGTGAAATGATTATGGATGGAAAAACTTTTGGATGATTAACAGCATCTGGAAATTGTCTATCTTCTAAACAAATTCCTCCAAGTGGAGGGTATCTTGATTATTTAATCCTTTTATTTTTTATGGCAAATTAAGTTTTCCAGCAGTATAGACTTGTAAATCTGGTTGATTTATATCCCCACTTCCAGCCGAATTAAAATAATTATGTTGTACTAATTTTAGAGGAGTTAAAATATCAGTGATAGCTTCAAATTTAATTTTAAGTAAACTAACCACCGATTTGTAAATTAATTTAACATTTAAATTCTCTGGATATCCATTTTTCTTCCTCTGAACTAAAAATATTTAATTGAACATAATTTTCTGAAATTTGTGTCATTTTCCACAATCTATTTCTAAATGTTTGTTGTTTTTCCTCCATATAAATATTTAAACCTTTACTTTTATCTAATAAATATTTTTTTTTTTCAACACAAATTTAGCCTAGCAATGTCAATTATTTAGAGCGGAAAGTTTTACTATTCCATAAGTTATACTAATTGTTTTACAATTCTCGTCAGTTTAAGTTTTTAATGTGTATTTGACGGTTAAAATTTGATTCTCGCTTACTATTTTAAGTGGGTCTGACCAGATTTCTTATGTTGTTAAGAAATGTTCGACAAATTTAGGTTATTTTTTATTTTAGCGTTTTATCTCAATTTATTTAATATAGCTTCTGTTTTTTTTTTGAACTAATGAATTAAATTGTTCTTTCTGAACTATTATTTACTTTTCTTTCTAACAAGTTTTTAATTTAATTCATATTTTAATATCTTATTCATAGGTAACTAACATTACATGATTACTTTTGTTGATTATATAATAATTTTCTCCTTTCTCAACGAAATTTTGCACTTTAATTTCGTTGGATACCAATTTTGAAGCCTAAGCTATGGTATTTTCTACATTTTCCATTTCGTTCAATCTCTTCTACAAATTTTCCATTTCATTCAGAAATTATCAAAAAAATTTATCTTCAATTTTGTACCTTGCCGTTGTTTTAAATCTTCATATACAAAATATTCACTGAAAAAAAATTTCGAGATATTTAAATCTCAAGGAGTATCTGGCTTTTAAGCCTGCGGCGTATGCACCCAGCTTTACCCGCTTAATATCCTTCTCAAGGCACCTAGCCGACGGAGTGTGCACCTAGCTGCACCCGCCTTGATTTATTATTATTACTGTACAGATTTTCATTATTATATTAAGTACCTGGCACCTAGCCGACAGAGTGTGCACCTAGCTTCACCTGCCTTCAGTACTACAACTTTTATTCACATGTGCAAAGAGATAATCAAGAGGTAGCAAAGAGCATTTTTCAATACCGCGGCGCTACTTTGTTTCTCTGATTTTGATTTAAAACTAACGGTTAGCATATCTTTTCTACTTTTTAAAACTTTAAACTTTAGAACACTTTTTAACCAAACAAAAAAATTTCATGACATTCTTCTAGCTCAATATTTTAATTTTATTTTCTTCGACTTTTAACTTTCGATTCTAATTTGTTCTAATTTTGTCTTCATTTAACCTCTTTTTGCAAAATTCTTATTTTAGATCATTTAAGGAGTTTAAGCTCGAGCTCTCAATTTTTTGAGGATTTGTTAATCTCTTTATTCTACTTTCAGCACATTTAATTATTTAATTTACGACTTTTCTGGAATTCCGTTTTTTATGCTTTAATTTCATGCGCATTTCTCTCGACAAGGCTTGCCCGGGACAAGTGGCACCAAATGTTGGGTTTGGGTTCCGAAGCCTTTCGAGGATTATACAAATTCTACTCTTTAAATAACTTTATTTACATCTAACTATTTACAAATTAAAATATATACATAAGGGAGGGAAAAGGGGACAATTACAAGAGTCTGGCCAGACCTGATAAAAACACTTCTAATTAGATTTGAATGACCATTTTGGATGAGTATTTATAGGGGACATTAATAAGTCGAGATTGGCGAAAACAAGTGAATAACAAATATTAAGATAAGGGTCGGGAATTGTGATAGACTCTGATAACGGTCGGGATTCCTTTTAATATAGAAAGAGGTCAAAATATATGTGCCTGTGAATGCATGTGAATGCAACATTTATTTTTAGTTTGTTTATTTGATTAGGAGGGATACAGCATTCCTCATATCTCGCAATAATATTTATGGCTGTTACATTTATAAGCTCATCAAAGTTTAGTCCCAAACAATTAAGTTATTCAACTTCCACTTTATTTTAAACCGAAACTTGATCCGACAAAAAATTTTAAAATTCCGAATGAATTTTTCTTTAGCCGATAACATCGTTGTCCTAATAACATTAACATGTCTATTGCTTAAGGAATCCGACTGAGGGCCCTGTTCTTTAACTTTTACCGAGTTTTGTCTTTAGATTCATTATAAATCATAAAAATTTACAGCTAAAACAACAACTACCGAATAATTTCAAAACTAGTCTGTAAAATATCCAACGATATTCCGTCAAATGTATCTTTTTGACATACAGGCAAAATCACATGAATCAAGTCTTGGCAGCTCTACGCAAACAAATTTTAGAGCAGAAAGGATCGTAGTAAATGGAAGAGGGGAGTGAAAGATAAAAAGAGCTGCACTTTAGTAATGCCTGCCAAGACTTGATTCATGTGATTTTACTTGGATGATTGTCCTATCCCTGCTCCACGTAAACAAATTTTAGAGCATAAAGTGTCGTAGTAAATGGAAGAGAGGAGTGAAAGTTAAAATGAGCTGCACTTTAGTAATGCCTGCCAATCCTTTTCAACCTCGAAATGTTGAAACAAGCTGGACAGGAACTAGTGGCCATGAAGCATATAGAAGCATACCCCCAAGTACTCAGGATATTCTGATGGAATGTATTCTGGCACAGAACATTTTCAAAACTTGTTAGCTTTGAAGAGGTTTTGGCAATAATCCATTTTTAACTCACTTCAACATCCTCAAGGGAATCCGAATGGTCAAGTACCTCAAAATTAGTGGGATTTGCAATTAGTTTATGGCAATTATCCATCTCAGCATCAGAATATTAATCCTTCTGGTCAAGAATCTTCACAAAATTGGTTTAATTTGAGTTTATTTTTAAGGAAAAATCTATGTAACTGAATAAAATAGAGTACATTATGATCCAACAGTAAGATTTAATTTGAAATTTTGCATTTGATTTAAAAATTCCCACTCCGCAGCAAATTGTTGTAATCACTTATCATTACGGTGCGACAAAATATGCACGAAAAATTGATTCTATAATTCCGAACAAAATTACGACAAACTGAATCCTTTACTAGAAAAACAATTTGTGTTGCTGCGAAGGGGTATGCCGTCAGTTTAAGCCAGAAAATCGGTGAAATGAATTAGGTTTATGTTACTTGTGAAGAACCAAACAACCTTGAAATACGCGACCGTAGTTTGAAAAAAATTTTCTTTATTTAGGATACAAATAAAAAATTTCAGTCTCATTGGGGCTCCGGCCGGCTCTTTTTATCTTTCACTCCCCTCTTTTATTTAGGATAGGACAATCATCCAAGTAAAATCACATGAATCAAGTCTTGGCAGGCATTACTGTAAGTGCAGCTCTTTTTATCTTTCACTCCCCTCTTCCATTTACTACGACCCTTTCTGCTCTAAAATTTGTTTACGTGGAGCTGCCAAGACTTGATTCATGTGATTTAGCCTGTATGTCGATAAAGATACATTTAACGGAATATCGTTGGATATTTTACAGACTAGATTTTGAAATTATTCGGTAGTTGTTGTTTTAGCTGTAAATTTTTATGATTTATAATGAATCTAAAGACAAAACTCGGTAAAAGAAAACGAACAGGGCCCTCAGTCGGATTCCTTAAGCAATAGACATGTTAATGTCTTTAGGACAACGATGTTATCGACTAAAGAAAAATTCATTCGGAATTTTAAAATTTTTTGTCGTATCAAGTTTCGGTATAAAAAAAGGTGGAAGTTGAATAACTGCGTCTTATTTAGCATTTTAAAATTACCCTTATAAACCGGCTAAAATAGTTGATGAAATCAGTCTCTTACTATTTAACGCAAATAAGAAAAGCTTAGCATTTGTTTAGCATTTAAAGTCAATTAGGGATTTAAACTTAAATATATTTTTAAATTAACTATTTCAAATATTTTTAAAATAATTCTAGAAAGTAATGAAACTTTCAATATTTTTAATTCTTTATTTATTTTTAACGCCAAATCTTGTTGATTCAACTAATAGCGATGATGAAAATGAACAAACTTATTTTAATCGTTTTCAATATCGAGATGGTGAAACAAGCGGGACAGGAAATAGTGGCCATGGAGGAACTGGAACTGGAAGCATACCTTCAAGTACTGGAGGATACTCTCAAGGAATGTATTCTGGCACAGAACATTCTCAAAATTGGTTGGCTTTGAATCGAGGTTTTGGCAATAATCCATTTTTAAACTCACCTCAACATCTACAAGGGAATCCGTCTGGTCATGTACCTCAAAATTGGTTGCAGTTAGGATATGGCAATTATCCATATCAACATCACCATATTAAACCTTCTGGTCAAGAACCTTCTCAAAATTTGTTAAATTTGGATTTAACTCTTGGCATTAATCAGTCTTTATACCCAACTCAACATCAACATACGGGTGCAATATACCCTCAAGGAACGAATCCTTCTGGTCAAGAATCTTCTCAAAATTGGTTAAATTTGGGTTTAAATCCTGAAATGAATTCTTCTGGTCAAAAAGGTAAGACAGGGAAGGTAATAAAAAACAAGAAAAAAGTTCCTTTACTCGATACGCAGCCAAGATCTGAAATCTGAAATTATTTGACAAATTTGTCCTATATCTTTAAGTAGAATCTTAGGATTTCTAAAAAAAATTTTTACAAATTTAAGATGACAACCCCTTTATTGTTAAAACGAAAAGAGGATGGACTTTAAATTATGGTGGTTATAATTATAACTATTATAGTCAGAGTGATAAAATGAAGACTATCACTTGGGTGTGCAATAAAAACCGTAGTTCTGAATGTAAAGGAAAAGTTGTTACAAAAGGAATTAAATTTGAAATATTGAAAGAATTAACAAATGATGAATTAAACGATTTGAAGATTGGCATTGAATTTAAATCTAAGCACACTTGTGTAAAAAAAGGAAAAATTATAAATGGTAATGTTTTATAAATTCCAAAAATTAGCTTTGCTTTCTAAATTAAAAATTGAATAATTTTTTTTAATATTTTGCATTCTCCATCGGGCTTCGGATCTAATGTCAGTTTTCAGATTAGGCCAGTTAGAAATTTAGGTTTGAAATTTTTTCTCCCTCTTTTCTTTGTGCGAATTCTTATTTCATTTTTTCCTGAAAGTGGCGCTAACACACTAGAGTAGAAAAAAATTTAAAATTTGTAATGTGACTCTAGTTGTCTATTGCCAGTCGCTTCAAATGGTGTCCGGAAAATTGGGCTCTGGAAAATTGGGCTCCAAGATTTTTCGGAAAATTGGGCTCCAAATTTTCGGAAAATTGGGCTCCAGCGGAAATTTGGGCTCTACGTGAAAAAAACGGAAAATTGGGCTCCAATTTTTTAGGCGCGGGGTATTGTGGCCCAATTTTCCGAAAAGTTGGAGCCCAATTTTCCGAAAAATCTTGGAGCCCAATTTTCCAGAGCCCAATTTTCCGGCACTCCTTCAAATAAAAGTAAGTAGTACATGTTGAGCATATGCACACGTTGAGTATACAATGAAAAGCTGAAAGAGAACGGTAGAGTACGGAATTATCTCGGATTAGGATTCGAATTGAGGGCTGTACGAAATTGCGGATGGCAATTGCGGATGCGACGATTGAAGATGGAACAATTGCGGACGACGATTACGGATATGACAATTCCGTACGACAACTCGGACTACAATTGCGAATACAAAAAGTTTTAAAAATTATTGATTTTTTAAAATTTTCAGTGCCGCAATATTCTAAAAATGGTTCGGAAACCGTCATAAGTTTGAAACTGAAGCCGGGACAAACAAACGTGATATCATTTCAACCATTTTTAAAATTACGAAAAATTTTTAATCCGCAATTGACATAACCGCAATCGTCGTCTGCAATTGTTGTCCGCAATCGTCGCATCCGCACATGCGTATCCCAATTGTCGTAACACCGAATTTAGACATAATTTTTATGTCAATAAGACCTTATAAATTATGAATTTAAAATATCAAATCCCATTAAAATCTGAACGTATTAAAAAGTTGTAGATTTTTCAAATAGTGCTTTTCAGTTAAAAAACAATTATAATAATTTTTACTAACATAACTTCAAATAATCAAATGGTATCTATTGATTATCACCTAATCGAGACATTGAAATAATAATTACTCAGGGGAATATTTTGGGTGAATATTTTAGTTAATTATTGTTTTTAAGAAGAACCTGTTTTTGGACAAACGCAACAGGGGAAACCAAAATTAGTTTTGGGTGGTTATGAATATACCAAAGAAAGCAAACAACCAAATGGAAATATATATTGGGTATGTAGTAAAAGATCTTGTAAAGGGCGAGTAATAAATGAAGGAAATAAGTACATATTAACACAAGAGCATGAAAAAGAATACCATAGAGAGAGAGAAGGTAATATTGTTGTAAATTTATAAAATTATATAGAAAACGCACTGCCTCTATTAGTTTTAATTGTGAATTAGTCAGATTAGTAAACTAAAAAACAAATATCTTATTATGAATTTATTTTAATAGTATTCACAGAACTATTTTTTATTAAATTTAGATAATACAATCCGTCACAACCAGCACGGAAACCAAGAGACACAACATGGAGGTATTTTTACACAACATGGAGGTATTTTTATTGAAAATTAAAAATTTATTCTATCGAATCCTTCCCTATTTATTTTATATGTTAGCTTACATAGATTTCGATGTGTAAATAATAATGTGATTTAGTTGTAGAACTATTTTATGATTAAATTTTAAAAACAAGGATTTGATGACCGAGAAATACAACAAGCTATTGATCAGTCTGCTGAAGAATATCAAAGAGGACGCGGTCGAACACGTGGAGTGATAATTGGAGGTATACACATTTGAAATATTTTTAATTTTAATTAATGAGAATATAAATACGAGAGAAAAAATGTTCTTGTAAACACCGGATTCGAGATTCGATACTTACATTCTATTCTAGTCCCGACCCCAGCCTTATTTCACGTAATCAATTTATTTTTAGTTCACTTATGTATCTTTTTCTAGTAACTATCCTTCCTTTACAATTATTATTTCTTTCTTGCACATTTTATTGGTAATTCATTTCCGTTCCCATTACTTATCCTTTACAAAAATTCCAATAAATTAAACAATCATCTCTTTTCAATATTTATTTCCCAACATTATCCCAACCATTCACCAACTTTCCCAAGACATACTTTGTAATTTCATATTCCATACCTCCATTTTCCCCATTATTTAACCAAAGGTTGAACCACAGATGATTATATTCAGATGTGTTCAGTCCCATAAAGAGTCAATTTTCCCATTTGTATAAATATAAATTTTAATAATTTAGAACCTGCCCAAGGACAAGAATCTGGGTCAAATCAAGGTAAAAAGAATATCTGTTTTTGACAAATTATTTTAATACTACAATTACTCCTAAATTCAACAAAATAATAAATTTAGGAGTAAGTTCTCGTCAACGAGGCAGACAACGTCAAGGGAGCAATCTGGGACCCAAAGGTTTTTTAACAAAAATTTAAAAATAAGGTGATAAAAACTAAATTTTAATAATTTAAACAGATAAAGGAAAGGGACCAGCTCAAGACTAACAAAATGGAAACCAGTATTTGATGACAAGAAAATTCGAAATTTTGAAAATTTAAACATCAACATATGTATACGTACATTAAATCTCTATTAGAATGCATCCAGTTGAATGCCACCCTCCAATAAAATGCCACATCGGATGGTATTTGAAAAATATAATGCATCTCGTAAATAAAACAAATGAATTCAAGGAATTTAGGTGATATCTGAGTATATCGGTGAATTAAAACGATTAAGGGTATTTCGAGGGATATTTATAGTAGTTAAGGATATAATGGATTTTATTGAATAAAAAGATATCTGCGGATTAGGAGATTATTTTATTATTAGGAGAATATTATCATTCTTAGTTTTCTGGAAGTGATTGGAAAATAAGAAGACAATGAATTCTTGTAGAGATTTCACGTTATATGCTCGAATAATCTTACAAATAACACACTATCTCGATTAATTACTCCCCTCAGCGAGATGTTGAAACAATAATTAAATGCCCCAAATGCCTAATGCACGTTCAAATATCACTCACATAATTATACTTTTCAATTAATTATCTCTTTGCTAGATGTTGAAACATTAATTATCCATGGTATTATTTGAGCATATATGTACAGTATCCAAAACCAACAGTATTTTCAATTATAGCTTTATTTAAAACTTTAAATTTTTAATTTTAAAACATTCTGATTAGTTTTTATTTTTAATTCTTTAATGATCACGCCCTACTCCTGTTTATCTTTATACTCTTTCTATTTATTGTCACATCTGTTTTTTCGTTTCCTATTGGTTTTTATTTTATTTCGGTTCAGCATTTTTAGTAAAATTCAAAACGAATCTGTTTCTGGTTTGAAGGATAAAATTAGAACTACTAGATACTACAGTGAGTTTTTTTTATTATTTGTATCTTAAATACAGGTAATGCTTAGATATCAACACAATTTTCAAGCAAAAATATTAATTGAAGTTTTGAAAAAAAAGTTTCAAAACCAAAGATATCATTTACTCAATACAAATTCTGGTATTTTCAACCCTTGAAATACAATATACAGGGTAACAAAAATTATCAGGGCAGTTTATTTTAGGCATAACTTTATTCAGCTTAAATGTAATGGTATCAAAGCAAGATTATATAATAGAAAATAAAAAAGGAACAAATTTAATGAAAACTTTTCTAGTTGCACTCCCTTTGTTCGTACATGTATATAGAGTTGAATGTATATAGAGTTGAAGAATATAGTTTTTAAAATTTTAAGCAAAAGTTTCTACATTTCGGGTGATCAAAATGCATCAATATAATTTTAAAATAAAAAAATATACCCAAGTTCATTTTTTGCCTCTTTTTATTCGCTCTTTATTTTTATTGTTACCTTGATGAAAAATTATTTCAAATCTTTTATAAGCAAAAATTAATCCAATAATTCAGAGGGTCTTCAAGTCCAAAAAGTTCAACTGCTTCGGCTAACTTCATTAAAAGCTTAATGAAAATTTTTAAAATTTAAGTACACATAAAAAATGGGTAAATTTTTTAAAAACTACGGTCGCGGATTTCAAGGTCACTCGATTTACAGTAACATAAACCTAACTCTTTTCACCGATTTTCTGGCTTAAACTGACGGCATACTCCTACGCAGCAACAAAAATTGTTTTTCTAGTAAAAGATCCAGTTTGTCGTAATTTTGTTTAAAATTATAGAATCAAGCTGATTTTGTTGTCATAACTTCATTAAAAGCTTCTTGAAAATTTTAAAATTTAAGTACAAATAAAAAATGGGTAAAATTATTTAAAACTACGGTCGCGTATTTCAAGATCACATGTTTTACACTAATAACATAAACCTAATTCTTTTCACCGATTTTCTTGCTTAAACTGACGGCATAACCCTCCGCAGCAACACAAAGTAAAAGAAGGTTTTTCTAGTAAAAGATTCATTTTGTCATAATTTTGTTTCAGAGTACAGAATCAAGTTGATTTTGTTTTCATTCGACTCAGCAAGACGAGCTCGTTCGAATGAACAATAATTGTACCTGAAACTTTTATCTAAAAATGAGGATAGTCTGCACTATGCTTTTTAAATTTTCGGTGTCTGACTGTCTTGGTTATTGTTTTTTTTTGTTTTGTCCATATCCCACCACGGATTAAAAACCGCTTGGTAATAGTTCGGTTAGTACACCCATCCTTTTTCCTTCCTAAAAGTATTAAAAAATGGTTAGTCAGTCAAAGTTTATTGAACTCGTTGAGCTGTTTCGAATGACACCAAAATCAACCCCAGGCCTCATCTTTGGACCGAGATATAGACCTCCAAAATTGAAAAATATTAGAGTAAACCAAGCTCATTTTTTGGGCTAAAAATTCGATTAAACAAATAATATCTCATTCTCTAATGTTCGTGTCCCTATGTTCGTGTCAACAAAAGTCAGATCTCCAAATGTCGCGCCATACTCTAATTTTATCTTTTAAATCAGAAACAGATTCATTTTGAATTTATACTAAAAATACTAACCAAAATAAAATAAAAACCAGTAGAAAGGGATAAAAAAAGAAGTGATAATAAAAAGAAAGGGTGTAGAGATAAGTTGGAGTAGGGTGATTTGATTAAAGAATCAAAAATAATAATCAATCAGAATGCTTTAAAATTAAAAGTGTAAAGTTTATAAATAAAGCTATAATAGAAAATACTATTTGTTTAGGATACTGTATATATGCTCAAATAATTACCTAGGATATTTATTGTTTCATCATACCCTAAAAGGGGTAATTAATTGAAAAGTTCGTTTATGTGAGTGAAACTTGAACTGCATTAGGCATTTGGGCGTGTATTTATTGTTTCAGCATCTCAATGAGGGGAGTAATAAATCGAGATAGTGTGTTATTTGTGAGTGAGCAATTATTCGAGCATATATCGTAAAATCTCTATAAAATTATTGTCATTCTATTTTTCAATCACATTCCAATGTGTCATTCTATTAGGGGTCTGTCCACTTATTAGGTACTACTTTACGAAATACACAAAGAAAAGTGTATAGAAATCGCTCTAATAGAGATTTTACTGTACGTAATGTTTTGGTTGGTGTCCTTGAGCGTTGCAATTTGAGCGTCAGCCTAATTTGATCGATTATAACTTTTTTTAAACTTACTCAAATAGAATAAATATCATATAATTCGAAATCCCACGATAAGCCGAATCTTTATCCCAATTTGGTGGATCAAGTATGATCTGCAGTTAAAAAGTTACTACTCGAAACGTGCAAGAAAAAAGATTTAACACTAATCGACATGTGATTTTTTAAAGAGCGATCAGACTTGATCCAAGTAGTATATACCAGAGTTTTAAAACATTTTTATAAAAAATATTTTAAAACACCGGTATAAGTTTTATTTAGTGAATGTTTAGAATGTTTATTCATTAGTAATTATACCAGAGTTTTAAAATATTTGTTTTAAAAAATGTTTTAAAACTCTGGTATATACTACTGATCCATCCAATTGGAAAAAAGCTATCGCTTTCGAGAGCTTTCAATGATATATGATATACAACTTGTATCATATACAAGTTGTATCATACAAGTTATAGCCGATCAAAGTTGATAACGCTCAAATGGCCCGTTCCGGCTATGTTGAAGTTCAATTTTTTAATCTCTCAAATTTTCTAGTCATCAAATATTCTGTTTCTATCATGTTAGTCTAGAGCTTTTCCCTTTCCTTTATCTGTTGAAATTATTAAATTTTAGTTTTTATCACCTTATTTTTTTATTTTCGATAAAAAACCTTTAGGTCCCAGATTGTTTCCTTGGCGTTGTCTGTCTCGTTGACGAGAACTTCCTCCTAAATTTATTATTTAATTTATTTATTTTTTAAATTATATATATTTTGTATTAAAATATATTGTCAAAAACAGATATTTTTTACCTCGATTTGACCCAGATTCTTGTCCTTGGGCAGGTTATAAATTATTAGAATTTAAATTTATATAAAATCATGCCGCTCAGATCTTACGGTCAGACACCCCTTCATAGTGCCGGTTGGAGAGATTAGGAATTGAGTGAGAGCCCAATAAAATGTACAAAAACGAAATAAGTTTAAAGTAAGGATAGTCACTCGAAAAGGATAGGTGTGTGGGAACGGAACTATAATACAATATAGGTTTTGAATCTCGAGTCCGGGGTTTACAATAATATTTTTTCTCTCGTGTTGATATTCTAATTAATTAAAATAAAATTGTTTTATATATCATACCTCTGATTATCAGTCCTCGTGCCCCCTCTTGTCTACTTTGATATTCTTCGCCAGACTGATTAATAGCTTGTATTTCTCGAGGATCAAATCCTAGTACTTATTTTGTTCATAATTACTTATATATAATATCTAGAAATATACCCAGACATGGGCCTCTCTGAACATCAGAGATAGTTTGTTAATGGAAACTCCTATAAAGTGTATGGATGGGACTAAATAAGAATGGAAAGAAACCAAGGATCAGCAAAAATTGAAAAGCACGAGTCAAAAACCGTTAATAACAAAAACCTGTGATTTTGGATATACTATCTCTAGATTTACGGATCCGCTTCAAAGATTTTCTAAATGTCAGGCATTTTTCTGATTCTGCTATCCAGATCCGCAATACTTAGATTTACTGCTTATTAGAGGTCGGCAAAATCGCATTTGCGGGATCCCGCGGGATAAAATTTTTTTAAAAATCTTTGCGGGACGGGATCCCGCGGGATAAATCCCGCAAAATCCCGCATTCCCGCAAAATCCCGCATTTTAAATTTGCGGGATCCCGCGCGGGATTGCGGGATTTTCCAAAAATCTTTAAAATTATCAATATCTATTGAAAAAAAACGATTTCTTAATCATTAACGGGTTCCTTACTCGTACTCGTTGCTCGTACACGTATTGTACTTCGTACCAATTTACGAGTATGAGTTGGTACAAAGGTATAATCACTTATCCCAGGTCCCCAATTATCAAAAAATCATAAGGGGCAAGCTCATACATATTCGTCGGAATTG